CGAGGTCGAGAATAACAGCTGACGAATGAGTCAAACAATACTTTGTAGAACTGACGAGAGAACTCGAAAGAACTATAAACGAAAACGAAAAACTGAATAAAATTAATTTTACCTTGATTACTGCCCCTTTTATACCTGGCTTCCGTCTGCTCAGGTGATCAACTTGCAGCCCCTCCTGGAGCTTCCCCTCAAGGAGCTACAGTGACCTTAAGTGACATTACAGTGCCTTTCGCGAGCGGTCGCAACATTAATGCTCCTAATTACTTTTGAAAAAAACGTTGCAGAAAAATTATTTAAATTTTGCATATTTTGAGACTTCCTTTTGCCTCCAATTTCCAAGCTGTAACAAAATTTTCTTCTTAGGTGTTATCTCAAAATTCTGCATCTTTTAGAAGCTAAGTTTTAAAGATATTACCTAATCAGTATCGTTACTCTTCTTGTACTACAATTACTGTTCTGTTACTCAGCTTTTCAAAAGTCTAGCAATTTGAGAAACTGAGTTTCAATTAAGGTACAAAATTTTGTACGTAGTTTAAGAAAAACGTATCAGTTTTTTTCCGTTCTTATACTGCGTAAACAATTCAAGAGTTGAAAAACACCAGAGATTCAAATCTAAAAATTGAAACACCATTTACTAAAGAATTGTTATCAGTAAGTGTTCAGATGTCTTTAGAAAAAAAAATTAAGCAGCGAGCAAAAAAATGACAAAAAACATCATACTTTTTAAGACCTTAATCTTTTAAGAAAGTGTCTGAAAATGAAAGGCGCGTAAAATCAAAAATTTGAACAGTCCACTAAATCTTTTAAAGATACACTTTGTTACAGCTTTTTATCAAGTTTCGTATTTTTTAAAGATAATTATTAATTTAATTGCCTTGAAGTCGCCTAAATAATTCTGGTACAGTGATAAAAAACAATGAAATTTAAAATATGTGATTCTAAACATACACATAGTTCAGCTTGAGGGATGTTTTGTATTTTTTTGTTTAGCTCGCTTAAGTAGCGGAATGAGAGCTGAACTGATGGATAAAT